TTTGATATTTTTATCATCTTATGTTACTGACTACAGTAGTGACACAAACAGAACACAGTACAGTCATGTCACATAACATTAACAAGTCTTGTAAGTCTTGTTTGTATTCAATGAAATCAGTTAAAGAATTTTTTATATTAAATATCTTTCCCCTCTTTTTAATTATGGACAGGGCATAAGATAAGAAAAATTATGCAAAAAATGGTTCACAAAACTTTCGGAAAAATAGTACTTAATCTGAATATAACATGACCTGTGCGTAGGAATAATTTGGTAATAAGGTATCTATAATGAGCACATTTTTTATGCATTGCAGCAACATTTGTACTTGTAATAACAGTGCAGACTGTGTACTGTTAACAGGCTGATCTAAACTTATGTTTTCAGAGTTAAAGTTCCAGACAAAGTTCAAACTGTAAAACTTAAGGCAAAGGGCAATTACTCCTAAATTAGGCATCGCAGAGTAACAGTTCTTATGCATTGCACATTTACTCATTGAGATCTATCTACCTACAAAGTTTCATGTTGATATCTCTTATAGTATTAGAGTTATGTCCCGGACAAGATTTTTCTAAAAGGGTCGATAATTCAAAAATGGGGCACAACAGAGTTATGGTTCTTTTGCACTGCATTTTTACCCAATGAAATCTACCTACCTACAAAGTTTCATGCTGATACATGTATCTCTTAATCTTAGTTATGTCCCTGACAAAATTCAAAGTGCAAAAGTAAACAAAGGGCAATAACTCCAAAACTAGGCATGGCAGTATTACAGTTCTTATGCACTGCACATCTACTGATTGAGATCTATCTACCTATAAAGTTTCACGTTGATATCTCTTACAGTATTAGAGTTATGTCCTGGGCAAAATTTTTAAAAAAGGAGATCTATAATTAAACAAGCACCGGTTGAACCAGGTGATGCTCCCCCGAGAAGGTGTTGGACACAGGAAAGTATAAAAAAATGAACAAATGGCAAAAACTCCAAAATAAGGCAAGGCAGAGTTATGTTTTTTTGCACTGCACTTCTATTCAATGAGATCTATCTATCTACTTAAAGTTTCGTGATGATATCTCTTATAGTTTCAGAGTTATGTCCCGGGTAAAATTCAAAGTGTAAAAATGAACAAAGGGCAATAACTCCAAAATTAGACAAGGCTGTGTTTAGGTTCTTTAGCATTGCAGTTCTATCCAATGAGATCTATCTACCTACAAGTTTCATGTTGATATCTCTAATAATAGTTTTAGAGTAAAGTCCTGAACAAAAGTCAAAAAGTAAAAATAAACAAAGGGCAATAACTTTAGAATAAGGCAAGGCAGAGTTATGATTCTTTAGCACTGCACTTCTACCCAATGAGACCTATCTACCTACAAAGTTTCCTGTTGATATATATTATAATTTAAGAGTAATGTCCCGGACAAAGTTCAAAGTGTACAAGTAAACAAAAGGCAATAATTCAAAAATTAGGCAAGGAAGAGTTGTGATTCTTGTGCACTGCACACCTAATCAATGAGATCTATCTACCTACAAAGTTTCATGTTGATACCTCTTATAGTTTTAGAGTTATGTCCTGGACAAAGTTCAAAGTGTAAAAATAAACAAAGGGTAATAACTCAAAAATTAGGCAAGGCAGAGTTTCGGTTCTTGTGCACTGCACACCTACTCAATGAGATCTATCTACTTACAAAGTTTCATTTTGATATCTCTTATAGTTTTAGAGTTATGTGCCGGACAAGAAAAGCAGACGGACGTATGGAAGGATGGACAAGGCGGCGACAAATTTTTCCTGGAGCATAAAAACCGGACTAAACAGAGTTATGGTTCTTTTGCACTGCACTCTGCCTAAATGCCCTCTACCAATGAGTGAAGTTTAAACAAATTATCTCCAAGGGTTTTCAAGTTATGCTCCGGACAAGACAACAGACAGATAGATGGACAGACAGACGTACAAGGTGGCGACTATTGGGAGCATAATAAACTCCCACTTCTACCAACGTTGCAAGATAACAAACACATATTTTTTTATACATAATTAATATTTAATGATGATGAGTTTTTACAATGAGTGATGCAAATTATATATATCTCATTTACTTAATCAAGAGTGTCACTAGACAGTCACATAATAAAACATGAGCTTGTTCTTAATCATGGTTATAATATAATAATATAGGTCAGTCACAAGATAAAGGATTGGTATCACATAATGGAATGTTAACACAATATAAACATCAAGTTATTGTGTGTAAACAACATGTAAAATGGCACTGACAATCAATGTCCATGATAAAATATATAAGCTTTACATTAATCTTTAATCTTCAAAATGTTTCTTTTCTCTAAATCTTCCATTTCTTTCAGTACATATGCTACATTATAACGTAGCTCATGGAACTTTGACACAGGCACCTGTAATTATAACAATATAAATATGCTCATTATAAATGTACTTCATACCTAAGTTAACCTTTCTATTGTTAAAGTAAAACACTAGGAAACCTAGACAGTCATATAATAATATCTGTATGTTTGAATCTAAATTTTAACAACTGAATTTGTAGAAGTTTTTAAGGCTTAAATTCACAATTTTATTTCTTTCTTTTGTCAATTATAAAACTTTCAAATAATCAAGTCCACAAACAAAATGGCCCTTAATCACTCACCAGAGGAATTTTTTAATCACTAGGAAATTCCTTGTTCAATTGATCAAAACCATTTGAGCAATTTTTGTAAAGGACTACTTGATGAACATTACTGTACAATGTCATCAGCACTGAGGAGAGGGTTTACAAGTTTCTCTATAATAACCTCTGGTGGTAATTTTGCTTAGCAAACCTTGAAACTTGAAAACTGAATAATTTTAACAATTTTAGTAAAAGATCACCCAAGAATAATTTCTATAGAGCTTACAAACTTACAGCTACTCAGGAGATATCATTTAAGGCTTATTTTTATTTTTTGGTCTGGCAACTATTAGAATAGAACCATTTCAGCATTTGAGCCGCGTCATGACAAAACCAACAGAATGGGTTTGCGACCAGCATGGATCTAGACCAGCCTGCGCATCCGCCCAGTCTGATCAGGATCCATGCTGTTCCCTATCAGTTTCTCTACTTGTAATAGGATTTGTAAGCAAACAGTATGGATCCTGATCAGACTGCGTGGATGCTCAGGCTTGTCTGGATCCATGCTGGTCATAACCCATTATGTTGGTTTTGTCATGGCGCAGATTTTTAAAAGACTAAGTAATAATCATTGACAAAATCTACAAAAGGAGATGTTTTTTAAAGGTTTTTCTATTTTTGGCTCTGGTTAAAGAACAATCCGAAGATCATTTCTGGAGCAATTGTAGTAAAGGACGACAACTTTAAGGATTATTTCCGTGCACTATTGGCAATGTGAATGTGGAGAAGAAGTCTCTGAGCTTTGGTAGCCATCTTGTTCAGCTGACCAGAACCATTTGAGCTTTATTTATAGAGGATTACTGAATGATCATTCCTGTATAGTTTCAATCATTTTTTGGTAAAGTTTTGGAGGAGATGTTGTTCAAGTAAAAATGTCAGCAACTGAAGTCTGATATTGGGGTATCACAATAGCTAACCTTGAGCACTTTGAGCTCTGGTGAGCTAAAAACTACTCAAAATATATTTTTTTTTAAAGTGGTATGCCTTCAGATGAGTACAATATCTTCAAAATAATCAAACAGTAAAAACAAATACATTTACATTTTGAGAAATCGAGATATTCACATGAATTAAAAGTAGATGAATTATTTCACAGAGTTGTTCCACCTGTCAGATTTGTTAGATTTTTTTGTCTGATTAATCAATTTTGTTGCTATTATCTAATAATTACAAAATCTGTTTTAACTACTGTCACCATGTAAATACTACTTATTTTCAAATAGATTCTTTGTACATGATATGATTAAACAGTATTGTTGATAATCTTTTAATTTACATTCTCAAACACTGACTTTTGGCACTAATTAACATAATCTATGAATGTTATATTTGACTGATTCCCATCACAAGAATTTAGTATTACTATTCAATTTAATCTCAGGGCTGCAGATAACATGCGTATTTGCTTTATTACCCAATTAAAATGTCTAAAAACCAAATAGAAATAATAACTAAGGGTAAGAAAAAGTAAATGAATTCTTATTTATGCAAACTACATTTGAACTGGTGCGTAATGACGTAAATTATTACTTAACGAGTACATCAGGCAGATCATAATGTTTCAGGCTGTTTTAACCTTTAGATTATATCAAACAGCTTGGAAATCTCCTAGGCCAATAAACCATAAAGCAAAGTAGTAAGTAGCTTTTTTATTACCATACAAAACCTACAACAGTTTACAATGAAGGTCAGAAATTTTGGGTAAAATACATGAACTTGTGCTTTATTACCCAAATTGGTTAGAGGGGGTAGGGTAAAAAATACAGAAATAACTCAAAGAAAATAGAACAAGAGGGCCATGATGGCCCTGAGGTCGCTCACCTGTATATAGGCCCCCGGAGCGTGGCTAGTTTAAACCCCAGGGCTTTTATTTGAACAAACTTGGTAGACATCCATAAGAAGATATTTCATGCTAAACATCTAAGCTCTAGCTCATTGGGTTTTTAAAAAAAAGATTTTTAAGTTTATACTACACACATATAGTTAAAAACAATGACACCCATGGGGCGGGGCCATTTTTGACCCCAGGGCTTTTATTTGAACAAACTTTGTAGACATTTACTAGAAGATGTTTCATGCTTAATATCTAAACTCTAGCTATTTGGGTTTTTTCTATATATGCATATAGGGAAAATCAATGACCCCCGGGGCGGGGCCAATTTTGACCCCAGGGCTTTTATTTGAACAAACTTGGTAGACACCCATTAGAAGATGTTTCATGCTAAATATCTTAGCTCTAGCTCTCTGAGTTCTTTCAAAGAAGATATTGTTAGTTTTTACTATATGCCTATAGGGAAAATCAATGACCCCCTGGGGCGGGGCCAATTTTGACCCCAGGGCTTTTATTTGACAAACTTGGTAGACACTCATTAGAAGATGTTTCATGCTGAATATCTTAGCTCTAGCTCTTTGGGTTCTTTAAAAGAAGAATTTTTAAGTTTTTATTATATGCATATAGGGAAAATCAATGACCCCCTGGGGCGGGGCCAATTTTGACCCCAGGGATATTATTTGAACAAACTTGGTAGACACTCACTAGAAGATGTTTCATGCCAAATATCTAAGCTCTAGCTCTTAGGGGTTTTTAAAAGAAGATATTTAAAGTTTTTTCTTTCGGTTGCCATGGCAACCAGAGTTTTGCATGGAATTTAATTCTTTGAACAATTTTTAAAGGTGACCACCAAAGGAACATTCCTGTGAAGTTTGGATGAAATTGGCTTTGTGGTTTATGAGGAGATGTCATTTAAAGTAAAAGTTTACGGACGGACAGACGACGGACGCCGGACGAAAAGCGATCACAAAAGCTCACCCTGTCACTTTGTGACAGGCGAGCTAAAAAAAACCAATAGATCACAAAACAAGGGGTAATTACCCAATATACACAAAATGTTATCTGTAGCCCTGTAATCTGTTTATAATAAAGGGTTATCTTTGAACTTGTTGTCATCAGTGTAGACCTTGTCCCAGGCTAGATTATATTACTTGATTCATACATTTCACCACTAAATACATTTTGTAATGATTTATGAAATGAAGAAGTTGGTACTGGTACAGAATTAAAGAACGCCTGATTGTGACATGAAGTATATAGCTGGTAAAATTCTGACACAACACATTACTAAATTAATGCATATTATAACACATGCTACTAACCTCAAATGTATGTATATTTCCATCTGTGAGAGTCATTTCCATCAACACACTCGGCTCTAGTACTCTGTTTAATACACTGAAATATATCACAAATTTTATAATTACATTTGGTAAACTGTTGAAATGCATTATGAATGATGTATAATTTTCTATAGGAAAACAAAGAGTATAAATTTTGAAGATACAGTCTTTATTAGCAGTTAAAGATCATGAGATATTTGTAGAACATGTATTCCCCCTAATGACATAAACAATCAGAGATGTTACTATCACCATGCCAAATCTGAAAACTGTGCATCAGAAAGTCATAATGTGGCCACCTTGACTTTTCACTTCAAAATCAATACTGGTAGGAGAGATAGCTCTAACACTAAATGACATATTTTTTGCAATATCTTATCTGCGTCAGTGCGTATATTTCAAACATTGATCCACCTAAACAAAGTCCTGTTTAAAGACTTAATGATGCACTACAAAAATAATTTATAAAAATGGAAACTGACATTTCTTTAGGTCCACAACGAGGTATCCAAAACATGGTGTTTTCACCGTACAATAGTACATAAAGTCAACACTTTTAATTCTAACGTCAAAATTAGCTCGAAAATCAGCCTCACTCATTTATTTTTACATTTTCTAATAACCCTGATGAAGACTTGTGAGAGTTAAAACGCCAGTTATCATCATTGAATAAACCTGAAAATTTATCCTGTGTTGATTCTTTGTTCCACTTCTATCATTTTTCTTAATATGTTTACATTTTATAAGTTTTATCTATTTTTTGTTGATCTTAATCATTTTTTCATAGTTCTTTCCAAAGTCAGTGGCCTGTCATCAAGATTCTAACTATCTTATGGTAGCTTAGTACAAAGAATATTTTGAGCCAGTTTCTGTGAACAAAAAGTTGAGGTAAATTGATACACATTAAAAATTCTTACTACCAAATTTGAAAATGTTTATAGATATCATGCTCCTGTATTACTAGGTGACCATGTGTTTCTTTGTTGAAAATAAAAAATAAAACAATAATATTTATGAAGTGTTAGGGTTATTTATGTCTTATGTTATTTATGGACTTATCCCTGGTCATCTAAAGGTCAATGACGTCATTACCGATACCATCACCAACCTTGTCATCATACCAGGATTGTAAACTAAAGTGTTCCTTAGTCATTAACTGAAAATATTTTTATGGTTAACGTAACAGTGACCTTAAACCAATCAATAAAGGTCAGCTGTAGTATATGATTAACAACCTCACCAAATTAAATATTAGTCCTGGAGACCAAGAAGATAAAAGATATGATGAATAATCAATACAAATGCATAGCCAGTGATAGATTGGTGATGTATAATATCAGATACTCTACTTTTTGTTAATTGTACAAGTATACATTGTCCTACAAAACATATCAAACAAAATTATAATATATACATAAATCACAATGATCTTACATTAAACAAGATATTTGCACATTATATATAGTACCTTATCACATACCAGTGCTGCTTTAGTGACTCCGTGAAAATGGTATTGCACGGCCATGCATATATTTTGACGTGACGTCATTTGCATTATTAAAAACATAGCTTTAAGATGCGCTGAATGCTAGCGTTACACTATAGGCGCGTCAATGAAAAATGGTTCTTTCTAACTTCAAACGGTCTTTATTTTTGGTATGTGATAAATAGAATATCAAATTTGTGTAAGTTCATTACTGAATTTATTGAACTTGTTGAATAAATTAATATTATGCTCGCAAGAGGCTTGCATAATATATTTTCATTCAACTCATTCAATAAATTCAGTATAATACAGTATTAAACTTACACTCATTCAATATCCTCTATAAAATGTATATAAGTCATCGTAATTCTACAATAAACTATAGTTTAATTGTGAGGTATCTGTAATATCAAAATACAAGAAACATAAAGGAATGTAATATAAAACAAACCTTGTAGATATACCAACATCTACACGCCACTTAAGTTGGTCTACTTGAGGTAAACGTGGTCTAGATTTCAAACACTCGCTATCTATACCTGCTCTTCTATAATACAGAGAACAAATATGTCAGAATATAGCAATCTAAAATTTCCTTCAGGATAAAAAAAAATAGATGTACATTTTAGATAAATGTACATTTACATTATTATTATATATCTGTATAAAATACTAGTTATAACAAATTGTTGTTTAAATCTACTAAAATGCTGGTTTTACTTTTTTTGGTTGGGTTTTACGTCACACCAACATAATATGGGTCATATGGCGATTTTGCAGCTTTACTGGTGGAGGAAGACCTCTTCCCTGCATTATTTCAGGCATGAATAGGACCACAGACGTTCCATAAGCTAGCTGGATTGGTTCCTGCCTTCCACATATGAAAGAATCCAAAGTCCCTGCAGGGATTCGAAATCCACAGCAGTTAGGGCAAGTGGTTTGAAGTCAACGACCCTAACCACTCAACAACGGATGCCCCTCTAGTTATACCTAACTGTTGCTTATCTCTGTATTAAAATGCTGGTTTTACCTGTTGCCAAATATCACACTGCTTATATCTGTATGAAAATCTTCTGGTATTCTGAAATAGAACAAATCAAATTAAAACTACAAACTATGGTAATAACTGAAGGCCTGAAATCTATTCTATTAATAATATTCCATTTTAATGAAGCACGCATCATATATTTACTCCTGTTTGTTAATGGCACTATAAGAATATTTTCTACATAAGAACATTAAACTAATCACAAGATAATCAAATGTGACTGAAGCACAAAAACAATTGAGATAAAGAAGCTGCTCTGCTTGTGTAGCTGTTAGCATGTTACACAAGTAATCCTAGAGAAGCAGGTCTGAATCCCAGCTGTGACCGGCTATATTTTTCATGTTATTTCTATAATTATACATCAATGCATATATGAAACATGTTATAACATGTTTATTACCGGTATATACATGTACATGTATCCAACAAGTGATAAAAATAGAAGCAAATACATGTATAAACTCACTGTAATTCTAGTAAATCTTCTTTAAACAACTGAAAAATACAATTGTATAAATTAGTTGGAACACAAGTACTTTAATGTATATTTATTTTATTTAATCAAACAGACTTATTTTAGCTCTACTGTGAAACAATTTCTTGCAAATCATTTCTGAGTTCTGCTTCCTAAAACTAACCAGTCCTGGTGTTACATGAGGAAACAGGGTTGTGACCCCAGTAATTGGTTTATTAGGTCAATTTTCGCCTAAACCAGAACTATGACAAAAGGTGATTCATAGATACCCTCATATGTAAAAGATTTATGGTTTATATCAGTAGGCAAGCTCACTCCTATATACCCCTCTAAACTAATTGTGTTTGTATCATCTTTGAGGTTTACCTGTTTTTTTTTAAATACATTTTACATCTAAACTTATTCTAGTACTTGTATTGAAATCATATATAGTCATCATATACTTGTACAAAAATATAGATTGCCTATGATTTGACGCTGAATATCTTATTTGAAGGTCTTACATTAAGGCTCCTCTTAACCTAGGGGATTAACAAAGTTCATTAAAGAAATTCTTTACCAACCTCTTGTTTTAAAGACCCATTCGGAAGCTTCAAAGCACACTGTAATAATTTTAATAGTCCTGAGTATATTACACATAAAGTTTCTTCTTGAAAGTCTTTTGTTTCTAAATCTTTTATCTGTTTATATTCTACATTCTTGCCCTCAATAGCTGTCACAATTACTGAAACAACAACAATATCATTATGTAACAATGTATAAAGTCTATGCTTTTCAATATTGTAAGATGCAAATTTAAGCATAATGTTAACAATTTAACAGTATCAAATAAACAAAACATGTTGTTAAAAATTAATATATTTCAGTCCCATACAAAATACTAATTTCAAAACTCAATTTAATACATTTTACTGTACTAACTGCCAAAAAAGCAACACAGCAAAAGGTGGTTCAGGTATTTAGCCAATGGCCAAATAAGTACTTTATGAAAACTGTAACTGGACACCAAAAATAAAAAGCTTTTGTGAAACAAATCAAAGCAATTCCGGAGCATAACAGACCTTTATTTTATTTTCATGTCCCTGTTGGACTATTCAATCAACTCAAGAGTTGTTGCCCTCTGCATACAAAGAAACATTTGTTTCTGAGCTATTTTAAATTCTCTGAGCAACTACATATGTACTTACTAGATTTCAACAAAACGTTATAGCAACCAACAATTTTAATGTGAGCATAACCCAGGTCAACCATTTCACACAGAGTTAAGACCCCTAAACATCTAATATTATTATATTTTACTTGAATTTTGCTACTATAAATTGAGTTCCTGTACACAGGCACGAGTATCGGACCTGGGAAGAAAAAATATGACCTGATTGATAAAATAACCTGTGTTCTTCTTAAAAGTGTCAAAAACCAAAAAGAAATTGTAAATTATGACCCCCTTTAAAAATATACTATAAGTTAACTTATAGTATATTTTTAAAGGGGGTCATAATTAACAATTTTTTTTTGGTTTTTACGATACTCGTGCCTGTTTTCCTGTACTGTTCACCGTAATATTGTGCTTAGATTTTAGATTAGTCCAATTTAATGTACTATGGGATGGATAATGTGCTATTTTGTGTATGGCCAATATCTGCCCTATAGAGATTCTGACCAAGAACAAATATATCCTGGGACAAAAAATATACACATATGTGTGTATTTTTGGTCCCCGATAAACCTACCTGCACATAATACCGGCTTCACAGACCCCGCCTTTGGCTTGCCCTGCTATAGACTACATGTGTATATTCAAAAGGAAATCAAATAAAGAACAATTGAAAAATATATAGATTTCTATACATATCAGTAACATACATGTGACATCCCGGCGGGATTTTAAACAAGAGCTGTCAGAAGGACAGCGCGCTCGACTTTTTTAGTGCTTGCCTATAAAACAAAACTTTGACAGTTAAGGGCACACAAGACTTTAACTAGGAATTTCTAAGTACAAATCAAGAAACATTTTCACAGAGTTATCTTCTCTTGCTTACAGATAGGTCTCATGATGGCACATAAGAACTCCAACTTCCAAAGTAATATCTCAAATGGTTAAGTCAACAAGTGGACAAGAATGAAAATCTTAACTGAGTTTCTAAGTCAAAAAGGGCCATAATTCAAATAAAATCCTTAACAGAATTACCTTCTCCTGCCCATGTTTTGGGACCATGATGGTAAACAAGTATTCCAACTTTCAAATTAATATCTCAAAACAGTTCAGTCAAAAAGTGGACTGGTACTAAAAACTTAACCAAGATTCTAAGTCGATAAAAGGCCTTAATTTTTAAAACAAATCCTTGACAGAGTTACCTTCTCTTGCGTACAGATGGGGGTAATGATGTGAAATAGCATTAAAAGTTTCAAAGCAATATCTCAAAGGGTTAAGGCAATAAGTGGACTTTACCCATATTCAATGTATTTTCTAAGTCAAAAAGGGGCATAATTCTGTCAAAAACCTTGACAGAGTTATGTCCTCTTGTCTGTTGATGAAGGTCGTGATGGTAAACAAGTATGGTCAGTTTCAAAGCAATACCTCCAATGGTTTTGAAATAAAGTGAGGTGGTACAAAAAACTTAACCAAGCTCAATACACTTTCTAAGTCAAAAAAGGGCCATAATTCTGTCAAAAACCTTGACAGAGTTATGTACTCTTGTCTGTAGATGGAGGTTATGATGGTGAACAAGTATGGTAAGTTTCAAAGCCATACTTGTAATACTTCTGAAATAAAGTGGGGTGGTACGAAAAACTTAACCAAGGTGTGACGCCAACGCTAACGCCGACGCCGGGGCGAGTAGGATAGCTCCCCTTTTCATAGAAAAGTCGAGCTAAAAATCCCGATATTTCAACACTGATCCCGATTCCCGATATTACAGCTTGAATTCCCGATATTTAAAAAAAATCAACATAAAAAAAATCAAACACAGCACCTGTATCTAAAATATAAACCATGCCTCCAGGCATTGATTGTTATCTGTTCATATCCTAATTTATAGCCGATTAAATGTTAAGTCACTAATTGACAGCAAGGTGACGTAATAAACAATTCCTTTACCCAAAGTTATTCTCACATGTTTAACTTATCACGTGTTGTGTGTCAATCAATTGACCTCTTTTGTAATTTGGCAGTAGGTATTACACGCTACGTCATCAAAACTACCCTGTAAATTTACATGTATGAATTCGGCTCAACCTTTGATTTTCTTTGATTTGTGCCGCACTGATAAAGATAAAAGGTGAGCAGAATCATTTAAAGTGGATCATTCAAAAACCTGTTCGAGATGTCTAATTAACCTATTTTAGTGAGTGGGTAATTTTTTTGTTTTGTTTAGGAATTAAACTATCATCGAGGCAAAAATGTGGATTTAATTAACGAAACGATTCTTGCATTTATTTTGAGTCTTCTACTTATGTTACGTTATAATTTAACTGTCAGAGTCTTATGTTCATGAATAGTTGTTGTACGTTTTTAAATAGCTTGTAGACAATTATTGAATGACTGAAAAGACAGATATAATTCTTCAAACTGAAAATAATGAAATGTGAAAATGTGACTGTTTTGAAATAGCATGTATGACTACACTTATTTATTTATTTATTTATTTATTTTTTGGTGAAATAAATTAATATTGATCCACAAAAAAAATCATAAAAAATATTACCATTTAATGATTTTGAGGGTAATATAGATTCTTTGAACCAAATGTGCCAAACACGCATTGAAATTCAAGTCGATAAAAAATCCAGTTTTGAGCCTCAAAATCCAGCTGAAAATCCAAATTTGGCCCATTTCATTTGTCACATGTATGCAGTAAAATTTTCAGTGTCATGTCTTAATGGGTGCCAACATTTTCAATGTAACACAATTATAAAAGGTGTAATAACGGAACAACCGCAACATTTCAGCTTTATAATAATTGTCGAGGTGCTTCAAGTAGTGTTGTCCCGATTGTCTCTGAAAATCAATAACTAATAGGACCAACCCAAAATCGGCCACAATCGATAGTCCTTTGTAAAAATCGATTATTTTCGGTGTTCTACCACTGCTGAATTGCCTATTCTATATTGTTTATACTACATGTACTTTAGAAAATTATAGTGTGTAATAACATAATATTATAAATAACATATGATAATAATAATAACATAATACATATCTACTGTAGTTAAATAACTGATCTACAATATTTTGACCTGTTGACTAGTACCAATATTGACTGCCATGATGTTGTACATTGTTTAATACAAAATTGCCTGTCACAAAGTTATATTAGGTATTTGTGTTGTTTGTTTTGAATTCAAAGAGTTAATCTTACTAGGAGACAAAGTTTATTCTCAAAATATGGTCACTATGGTATAAAAAGATACATACAATGATTAGTACCTTAAAAGAAAAAAGGACCATAAAAAATGCGATAATACTATCGGCAGACAATCGATTTGGGTGGTCCGATTATCGATAGTGATTTTTGAGTCCGATACCCAACACTAGCTTCAAGTGAAAACTGAAGCAGTGCATGAAATATCAAATGCCACCTAAAAAATGGAAAATGTTAAGTAGGACATGAATGACTTCCCCCTATGAGTTCATAGGCTTTGCCTAATTTCATATTACTTGAAATAGGGTGTTGCAGTATACAAGGATAGATATATCTTAGAATCTAGCTTTGGCACGTCAAGATACAAGAAATTTAGTCAATATACATGTATATTTTGACTTGATATCAGATGTACTCTTCTTTACATTTTTAATGTAATATTGCTCTGAGAAAAATGTCTAAAGGAAGTCACTGAGCTTAAAACTGATACTTACACAATAATATTTTCCTAAATACTCCCTTTTCCAACTTTGTTAATGGTTTTATCATTGACTTTACTTCAGTAGGGACTCTTGCACCATAGAACGGTGTTCTGTCACTGACAGCGGATTTACCACTACCGGTCACCTGAATAATCGACATTTTTTCAGAAAGGTTTAGGTCTCTTTTACAATTTGTTTATCTCTGAGAATAACAATAATAAACTTTCTCAGTAACTTTCATTTTTATTGGTGCACCGCCCACAACCGGAAACGGAAGTTGGAAGTAATCTTATGATTGATAAAGTATATACCATACCATTCTATATATAATCGCAACTTTCCGGCTAATTCCGTTGAGTTTTCGTGTCGTCTGCTGTTTTATTTTGGTAATTATTAATGGTCATTTCTACCAAATTTGGGCATGTAAGACTTGACAAAACCTTGAAACAAATAAACAGTTTTTGTTTTATTATCTATATTAAGACTAACTAGCAACTCTCTTGAAACAAACTGTAGCTAATGCATAATTTTCAGAAGTAAATGTTTGATGATTTTGCTTAAGAAATATACAAAGGTAACAATTAAGGTTTGTCATTACCACAACGATCTGAAAACGCCTTTATTTTTTTAATTGCAATATAATTATTTCGTTTCAAACAACGATTAAGTGCAAAACACATGAAAAGAAATAGCTTTTGATAAATATACCAAAAATAAAATGTCTAAAAATCTTTTTTTTATAAACTTTGAAAATATCAATACAAAATCTTTTATAATCAGTGTGGTAATGTTATAATATTTAAAAGATCGGTCTCTGTTTGTTTCTACTATTTCAGTAAATGGATAAGTTATACAACACCAGTGAAATATACCTTCATCATATGTACCATTTATACGACTAAAATATAATATGAAAAAGGCAAAGCCTCAAAGCGAGCTCGATGCACTTTTTACGTGAAATAGTATGAAATAATCGCTCAATTTTATTTCAAATGCAGTAACGAGTGCGTGTGACGTCACACGTACTGTGTTAAATATGGCTCCGCCCCTGTCGTGAAATGAATAACGAGTTTTGAAAACGTTGATAAAACTTTGTTTATTTTGTTTCACTCTATAATTTTTCAAGCGAAATAAAGATTATCTAAAGTGAAATAAATGTAAAACTTAAAACGTTTGCGACATTAAAATAGCGTACTTGATTTGTTTGTTTTGCACGTGCTGTTTGGCGCTACATTGTGACGTCAAGTAAACAATACTTTAAACGTCTGTACAGCGTTAACGACTGAATAAAAGATATTGGTGTTCGGATTCATTTTCTTAATTAGACCATTTTCTTTCATTCTAGATAGTTTTCACAACAAAATTCAACAAAAAATTGTTCTTATTTATCAGATTTTTCAAACAAAATGGCGCCTTCAATTATTATTTTTTTATACACAGCTTCCGTTATTCTGGTTCCCTGTCTAATTATGGTTCCCATAGACGTGCGCGGGGTGACCAGTCTAGACATCCGTTTTCAGTCAGAATTCCTCAGTTTTTATCGTTATCTTTAAATTCGAAAGGTTGCGATGTGTCCAATTCGGTACTTTGGACGAAAGTTTTCAAAACCATCACTTAGCAGGTACTCGCGTTACCGTAAAGCTCGCTTTGCGAGCAGGCCCTTCGGGCCAGCTCGTCGAGCTCGCTAATATGAAAAAGGCAAAGCCTCAAAGCGAGCTCGATGTACTTTTTACGTGAAATAGTATGAAATAATCGCTCATTTTTATTTCAAATGCAGTAACGAGTGCGTGTGACGTCACACGTACTGTGTTAAATATGGCTCCGCCCCTGTCGTGAAATGAATAACGAGTTTTGAAAACGTTGATAAAACTTTGTTTATTTTATTTCACTCTATATATTTTCAAGCGAAATAAAGATTATTTAAAGTGAAATAAATGTAAAACTTAAAACGTTTGCGACATTAAAATAGCGTACTTGATTTGTTTGTTTTGCACGTGCTGTTTGGCGCTACATTGTGACGTCACGTAAACAATACTTTAAACGTCTGTACAGCGTTAACGACTGAATAAAAGATATTGGTGTTCGGATTAATTTTCTTAGTCAGACCAATATCTTTCATTCTAGATAGTTTTCACAATAAAATTCGACAAAAAATTGTTTTTATTTATCAGATTTCAAACAAAATGGCGCCTTCGATTTTCATTTTTTATACACAGCTTCCGTTATTCTGGTTCCCTGTCCAATTATGGTTCCCATAGACGTGCGCGGGTGACCAGTCTACACTTCCGTTTTCAGTCAGAATTCCTCAGTTTTTATCGTTATCTTTAAATTCGAAAGGTTGCGATGTGTCCAATTCGGTACTTTGGACGAAAGTTTTCAAAACCATCACTTAGCAGGTACTCGCGTTACCGTAAAGCTCGCTTTGCGAGCAGGCCCTTCGGGCCAGCTCGTCGAGCTCGCTATTAAAAAGAGGGAATAATGCATGTTGCGGTAATGATTTGGCGTTATGGAAATGACAGGTCTGTTACGGTAATGACTAAAGTAAAGACAACTTTGTTTTCAGCTTTGCATTTTATTTTTATAACATCACAACTGTGAGAAAAGTGAATAAAATTTTAAAAGAAATTATTTTAGTTATTTTATTTTTTTCATTTTTTATTTCATTTGATTCAACAATTACTATTTCACCATACCATTTTACTATTTTAATTCACATCAACGTCATGTACCAATAATTATGACGTTGTTATATATTGTAGAGACCCAACCGAGTCTTATAAATAGAATAAGTATCGTTCTCAACAATATAAGGATTTTATATGTTGTTTTCTTTTCACTTTGAAAATTATAATGAAGCTGTATGGGGAACGTTCTGCATTTGCTATCAGCAGATTTCGAACTCCGGAACTGAAAACGAAGCTATATTGATAATATTGCGGTTCTACATGAATCGGTGGAAACGCCGAAAGTTTACCAATTATATTTCATTGCATGTGAAATAAACACTTTTATGGTAGTCAATAGTCATGGATTGTTCAACATTTCATTATTATAAATATTGTCATACTATCATAAATTTCAATAGCAAGCCACAAAATAACTATTCAATGTCCATTTCTTCTGTAATGGCATCCCATACAACTTGGTCAATTTGACAATGTCTCTTTGTAACATTTTGTGGCTCACCGTCAAGCAATGTAACAACTTGATTTTTCTGGTACCAGAGTCTGTCTTCAAGTAATGGCCAGAAAAATCTGTTGACCCCTATGCGGTTCATAACCTTTACTTCCAATTCATTATCATCTACATCTAAGATGACGCCTGGATAAGGCAAGCGGTCATACTCAACAACGCAGTATCTTCCAATTAAAGATTCATCAACCTCTAATACTTTAACAAGAACTGTGTCCTAAAATATAGTATTTTAAATTTGAGTACAGAAATCAACTCCAATTTCAATTTTAAAAATGCATTGTTTGATTTTAAAACATACTGAGTATACAACGTTGATCCTAAAATGTATGAAATTCAAAATGACATTCATTATTTGATAAAATCTGAATACTATTATTGACAATTTCTACTTTATAAGAAACAAAGAATGTTTAGCATTAAATATCACGGTACTTTTACTAATTTGCGTAATCTATGCTAATATTTAAGGATCGCATTGTGCGTTTTATTAAACTCAAGTCATGTAATGTAAACTTCAGAAACGTACATTTGTAACCATTGTAGATGACGTGTCACCATGTTCATCCATCATTATATTGTGTGTGTTTGCCTATAAATAAAATTCAGATGCTAAACAAGTTTGACCATGGGGAGTGGGCACTTTCTCCTATACTTTGCAACAATTTATAGATAGATCTAGGTATTCTTCAAGCTGTGTGCAATATTTTGAAAAGCAAATTATCATCTTATGATATCCACAGCTCTTTGCTGGTTAATTCAAACATATTTCAGGAACTTAAATAAATGTTCTTTTAACACTTGAAAGAATAAAAAATGTTGGTGCCATCTCACTATGTATACATATTTACCTGCAGACTCTCTTTTTCTCCGTGTTTGACAAAGCAAGTCTTGACTGGATTATAGCAATCACACTGACAGTTCCAACGGCAAAAGCAGCTCAGGGGACGGGAGAAGATAGTGTTTGACTCTGTCACAACAATCTTATAAAAACAAAGTATACAGTGAAATTTTAAAATCTTGAAAATTAATAATAAAGAGTTGATACAGCTTTTAGTAATTTAATCATCTGCATAAACAAAGGCACCTTTTAAGTTAAAAACACAAACTTTTTCAAGAAATGTTTATGCACGAAAAAACAGATTCATTAGCGCTATTTCTGCATAAAATGATACATCTGATTAGGGATTTTGCGATTGTCGTTAGAGTATCCCAAAAATACATCTTTTTCGTCCTGCATTCTGGTTGTGAGATGATATGATTTGGAAGTTTTTTTTTATTTTGATGTAAAAAGTATTTGGTTGTCATCATGTACTACTGCAGTAAGCTTGTTACTTGGCACCTTGACCAAGCAAATTTTAAAAAGACATGCGATAATAATAGCTCGTGTTCATTTCGTATAATCCACCAATGTATGATTTCTCCTCTATGTACCAATGTATGCTTAGTTTTATACAAAATATTGTTTGAAAATATATACATTGTAATTAATGAACGTCGGTCACACAACTTAGTTTTAGTTATACAATGTACATGTCGTTAAAATATCATAACATTGAATTTTTTTTTTACTTATCATTTTAGATCAAGGTTAGTGCAATTAAAATAAATTACCTGATGTATTTTCATCGTTTTAGGAACAGTTGGAATATTGGCATCAATATATTCATTGAATGAATCAATGTCCGCCTGTGTTACTTCATACAGGTCAATCTTTGTGCCCAGCTTTGTCAACCCTTCTAACAGCTCAGCGGCCTTTGTTACATCTTGCTTGTCATGTAATACAAGAGAGTCAGCTAATCGTTTAACACATGAACCAATGCCATCGGGAGCACCTTTGCCGTGCCCGGCCTCCCAGAAATTCCACGTTGCTGACTTAAAACCAAGTTCAAAAATTAGTTTTGAAAGCATGTAAAAATTGTTCTTTGACCTATACTGAGTTGTAGGTCCATCAGACACAAAATGGACCCTTTCAATATTTTTCTGTTGAACAATTTTATTTAGGACAGGCTTCATATGAGCCCAAATGGCTGCTGGCCCATGAAACATGCTGTCTGATAATGTTGTGAATGACTGACTACTGTCCTTATAGTATACCATA